CTCGTGTTTGAATCGGTTTCGCGGCGCAGAGTATCGCCAAAGACGTGGACGTCTTCCGCGAGATAATGATCGCCCAATTGCTGAAAGACCTGTCGGTCAACATTCAGCTCCAGAATTGTCTCAAAATTATCGGTTATTTGCGGCGAACCGACAAATTCACGGAAACTGAGCTGCGGATCAAGTTCTTGACGTCACGGGACCAGTGGCTGTCGTCGATGATCAAAGAGATTCCGGCCAACAATCGTCAGTAGTTTTGTGTGACAATTATCTTAATCTGAAGAGTCGTTAATCATTTAATCCATTACTTATAGCTCTCATTCACATTACGAAAGTGATCGAAACAAATCGCGTCAATCTCTTCGATATCATCACTCAATACAGAGCGATCTTCGCGGACACGGATCAGATAGTACCGCAACACTACACGTACTACGGGCTGACCACTCAGTCCACGGGCGGCAGCGGTGGCCGCGATTTTACCGACGGCGCTATAATCAACAGTTGGGTACTGTTTAAAGTGAACCAATTTCTGGACACATTGCGTGCGGACGTGAAACGGTGTGTGAACAACGAGTTCGGCCACTATTACCCCATCGAGTCGATCGTTGAGCCCGTCTTCTACTTCGGTCTGTCGATGAGCCGAATCGGCGCCGACTTTAGGCCTCAATTGATCCCAATTATAAACGACGCGATCGCCGACCGATTTGCACGCGTTGTCGCCGAATCCACACATAAGTAATTGGTTTTGCGTTTAATTTACTGTTTAAAAACACTTCATATAGTTTTGAACTCAATTTCCTGAAGACATTTACTGTACTTTTTTTTGTGTGCATTTTATTCTCCGTCTGTGAAGAAACTCTTCATTTCCTTATACTCTTGTTTTTAAAGCTATTTTAATTCCGTGTTTATTAGTTGTGCTGTTATTTTCGGTCTCATCTGTCTATCGATTAATTATTTTTTATTTTAGTTTTTTTAAAACCACTCTTTCAGTGGATAAGTGAGAGATAAGAGAAAGCATACAATTATTTTAATGTCTTTTTGGGTTTTGTATTTAGTTTATGAGACAAAACAACAGTCTCTCTCTCTCTCTCTCTCTCTCTC